GGGGGAGCCCACAGGTGTCGGGTGGCCACTGGGGGTCTAGCAGGAACAAGGGGGCCGCAAGGGCCGCTGGGGGTCTGGCAGGTGTAGGGTGGCTACTGGAGGCCTGGCAGGTGTGGGGGTGCTGTGGGGGAGCCTGGCAAGTGCAGAGGAGGCACTGGGGTCCTGTAGGTGTGAGGGGTGCTAGTGGGGACCCTTCTTTGAGAGGAAATCCCTTGATCCCATCCTCTCTGTCCCTCAGGGTCAATGTCCCCCCATGTCTCTCAAGGCTACCATTCACACACTCAGAAGCAGCAGCAGGCAATCCAAGCATCAGTGAGAGTGACTGCCCTGCAGTGAAGCCCGTCAACTCTGCCTGAACCCATCAATTTATAGTGATCAATATAAAAATAAAACAATTGGTCAACATCAGAGGACACTAATGAACCAAATGGATGTTATAAACACTGGGGAAGAAATCAAGCACTCATCCTACCCCTTCAACATGACTGGCTGGAGGATGAGGGGAAGATCGTGGCTGCCCTGTGGCAATGCCACACTCGGGGGCCCAGGGATGCTCACCCTCATGCCTCACTCGGCGTTGGGCTGGAGCGCCTGGGACCTGCACATCTTCCCAAACCAGTCTTCAGTGACGTGTAACTCAGCCAACCAGGAGGGAGCGTCTCCATTGCGCCACCTCACCAGCCTGCCCTGGCTACTATGGGGAAGCCAGAGTGTGGATGAGGAAAGCAGAAACCCTAATTCTAGCTGATAGCTAACAGACAACGACAGGATGTCATCATTTGCACCCCTAATGACTCAGCAAAGCTAGGCACTGAGCTTCCACGACTGCTGACATCACTAAGGAGACAGGCCGCCCTTTTGTGCCTCCTGACACTGAGTCCTGCTCAGCCATCGGACCTGAGCCTAACCGGTCTCCGTACTCAATGGCAAACTTATGCACACAGAGGACAGAGGCCATGCCAGATGGTGGAGGGTGGGGCCTTCTAGGACAAAACACCCAATATCGCCAGTCAACTGCCAAGAAAAGGAGTTTAAGGGCAAAGCTATAGATTAAGACTCTTGTTGTTATGTGCCATCGAGTCGGACCCGACTCATAGCAACCTCTCCTTGGGTTTCCGAGGCGGTATCACCATGGAAATAGATTGCCCAACTTTCCTTCCAATGAGTGGCTGGTAGTTTGAACCGCCAGCCTTCTGGTTAGCAGTCAAATGCCTTAGGCACTACACTATTTGAACAGATTGGATCCTTGATATGGAAGAATGGTAAAATTTTAGCTGTGAAAATTGTATTGTGGTTATGTTTTCTTTTTAAGGAAAACACCTTTACCTTTTAAAGATGCTCACGGACACGGCAGCATTATTTGCAATCACCAAAAGGTGCAGACAACTCAAGTGTCCATCACGAGGGATAAAGACCATGCAGCCTGTCCACACGGTGGAATGGCACTGAGCCAGAGAGGGAGATGATGGGCGACGTGTATGACGTGCACGAGTCTTGGGGGCGTTATGCTACACAAAAGCAGCTGGCCACCAAAGGGCACCTGCTGGAGACCCTGCTGCTAGAGGCAGTGCCTAGAGACCAGAGCGGAGGAGTGCTCAGGGGAGAGGAGCTAGTGCTCACGGGTAACAATTTCTGTGGGTCTGGGCGGCGGCGGTGGAACACTTTTGTAAAGGAACTGGCGATGGTGGCACAACGTGGTAATGTAATTAATATTAATTAATTGCACACTTAAGTGGTTAAAATGGCAAATTTTGTTATACAGATTTTACTCTAATTAAGAAAAGCTAAAAACAGATCCATAGTGGGATACTCACAGATGAAATTCCTGAAGCCGAAGACTTGCTCCAACCTGTGGGGACACGGGCGAGGTCAGGCAAGTCGAGGGGGTGTGTCCAGGTTGGGGGGGGTGGCGTGAGAGGGCGTGCCAGGGTCAGGCAGGCTGGGCTTCTGCAGGGCATGGCACTCCTCTGGGCATATGTGAAATCATTTGCAGTTAAAGGATTTTCAAATCCCCTAACGGTTACTCATATACAACCTTGTTTACAGGGCCCTTTTCTGGGTTCTGGATTGCCTGGACTTCTAGTCCCACAAACTGCCATATTTCAAGCACATGTGTGTGTGGGTGTGTGTATCTGTCCAAGCTAGTGTGTGGGTATCTGAGTGTGTGTGTTGGCGGTGTGTATCTGTCCAAGTTAGTGGGGGTGTTATGGGAGTATATGTGTGCACACACGTGTGTAGTGTGCACATGTACGAGTGGTACATGCACGTGCAAACGTGCACACATATACGTGTAGCACATGTGCACACATCCAAATGTGTGTGCATGTGAACACGTGGCAGGCAGTTTCTGCATTCAGAGCTGCCATCTGTACGTTTAGGTTTCGTGACTGACGTCTCATAATCCTAATCCAGACACACCACTCCTCTGCATTCTTCACATTTTGGAAGCCTCCCCCTAATTAAACGGAAAGACAAGCTGAACAGTGACTTGGACAATAAGCTAAAGCGCCCATTCTCACTGAACCTGTTATTCCGGGGTGCCGAGTGGACTCCTACTCACAGCTACCCCACGTGACACAGCCGAATCATCCCATAGGGTTTCCCAGGCTGTAATTTTTAAGGGAGCAGGTCACCAGGGCTTCTCCCCAGTGGAGCCGCTGGGTGAGTTTGAACCACCAAGTTTTCTGTTCGCAGCCAAGCACGTAACCACTGCACCAGCAAGGTCCTTGTTTGAATGTCTCGGACCCTGCTATTTAGGTGCGTCTCCAGCAAGGTGTTCTGCCAGCCTTGGTACCTGCACCTCACACGACCCGCCTTAGGACGCTTGGTCGGGTGGGATGGCCAATGCACCAGCCAGGAGAGCGCTACAAAAAGGACTTTTATTAAATGAAAGATCTGCTTGGTGGGAAGACAGGAAACAGACAGACAAACCCTTCACATATGATCTCTCAGACACAACATGCCCCCAGGGCTGCCAATGCCCCTCTTGTTCTAAGCCCCAGACAGGGGTCTCGGTGCCAGGGTGACCTGCAGCTGAAACCTGAGCCCTCAGAGCCCTGGCACACAGCCCCGAGGCAACAGCCAGCATAGTGCATCTCAGTTGCAGCATGGGCCACTGCCAGGACACGGGTCTGCGGGACAAGTGAGCTTGGCCAATTGTTGCAGCAGCATGGGGCACTGCCAGGACACAGTCCCATGGGACCAGTGAGCTTGGTGAATTGTCGCAGTGGTGTGAGGTACTGCTGGGCCCCGGGCCCGCAGGACCAGCGAGCTTGGTGGGTTGTCAGAGTGGAGTGGGGCAGTGCCGCCTGGCCTCATCAGTTTTCTGCATTCAAACACATTTCATTACCACCCATCCACACACCCAATGGTGCTCGGTGAGGACCATCATCAGGCTCCAGCTGAATTTTTATGTCTTGTCTGATGCCCAGGTTCCTTTCCCTAAAGGATGTGTTGTGTGGTATGTAGCAGGACCCCTCCACAAGGAAACTGCACTACCAATAGGTCCCAAGGCTCAGCCCCACGGGAGCTCACAGCGTTCACAGCGTCTTTGGCATAGAGCACACCAACTCCCCTTAATATTCCTGTCACTTAAAAAAGTATACTTTCCATAGTAAAACTTCTTAAAAACCCATTTCTGTAAAATAAAGTGTTTCTGTATGAATGTACATGTCCTTCTGGGAAGAACAGGAAGCCCTGCTGAGGCGGGCTGGGACGAGGACTGGGATGCATGTCCCACCCTGCCAGTCACATGAAGTCGTTCAGCTCAGCCTCCAGGGCTGCGGCCATCTCATCAGCCTCTGAACTGCTGCCCTCCTCATCCTCATTGCTAGACTCCTTGCTGGAGTCACTGGCTGCGTCCTCTTCATTCAGCTTCCTCTTGTGGCCCCTAGGAGAGGAGGAGATGTGAGTGCTCCATGAGGACATTTGGGGTGAGATCTGTGTGTGCAGCCTGGGCCTCCCTGCACCCCCCCAGGACAGGCTCCATGTGGACATGTGTGGCGTGATACAGAGTCCAGCCTCAGAGCAAGAGGCACACAGCTGTACCAGGCACAGCACTGTCCACCCTGCCCAGAAATCAAACGACTTCAGTCATCTCACGGTGGATGGACTTCTGACTCGAGGCCAGGGGAAGGCATAGCATTCAGGAGCCCCCCGTCCACAGGAGGTCTGGGGCCATCAAGAGGGGACTCTTGGGTGGCCCTACAGCTCTGCAACAGAAAACCAGGAACGAGGCCAGCCTCCGCTTCTGGGTGGATGTTTTTAAATACAACACGTGATTCCGGTTTACTAATTAAAAATCATCTCAAAACAGCTGCAAGTTAAGCTGTCAACGCTGCCACTGGTGCTGGCTTCATGCCCTGCTCCACCAACTGCACAGTTCCGCAGAGAGCCAACAGACTTGATTCAGGAAGACCCGAAAGCAGGAAACCCTCCCGAATTCAACGTAGCTAGGGCACGAGTGTGGAGAAGAGCTAGAGCGTCACCGCATCCTGTGAGGTTCCAGTTCTCCAGGCATACTGCTGCCACACACAGCAGGCGACACACACCGAGCACCAGTGTGCCCCCCCCACACAGCTGCCACACACACGCACACACAGGCCAGGTGCTCTCGACCTCCACACTGATGCACTACACACAGCGAGCCACACACACTGCTGCCACACACAGCAGGCCACACACACAGCATGCAGCATACACAGTATGCCACATACACAGCACACTACACAATGGGTGCCACACACAGCACACGACACACACAGCACACCACAGACACAGCACGCCACACACACAGCGGGCCCCACACATAGTGCGCTACACACACAGCACACTACACATACAGGGGACGCCACACATGCAGCAGGCCACACGCACAGCACATAACCCACAGAGAATCCAGCACTCTGTAAAGCGTGTAGTTTTCAACTGCTGCTTTCAACCGGTGGGGTTTTGGGGCAGAAAGACAACAAGGAAACGTCAGCATTGCACATGGGTATGGGTGTACGGGTATGTATGTGGGTGTGCATGTGTTTAAATGACTGGTGCCAGTGCTGGGAGAGCTCTGGTGGCACAGCATTAAAGCACTCATCTTTGAACCAAAAGGTCATTGTTTCAAACCCACCCATGGCTCCATGGGAGAAAGATAAGACAGTCTGTAAAGATTACAGCCTTGGAAACCCAATGAGACAGTTCCACTCTGTCCTCTAGGGGTGCTGTGAGTCAGAATTGACTCCACGGTAGTGGGTTTGGTCTGGGCTTTGCTTCCATGAAGACTGACAACCTTGGAGACCCCGTGGGGCAGTTCCACTCTGTCCTC